CTTCCGGCTAATTCGCAGTCTCCGCTTCCCTACTTCGTCTAGCTCCTTCAGCATCGTTTCCGCTTCAGCGATATTCCTCGAGAGGAGAACAATGTTGTCCGCACAACAGAGGAATCTCTCATCAACTTATATACCCCACTCGTTCCATTCCGTGATTTCATTACTCACTGCAAGGCGGCGGCAAACAGCTTTAGCGACACGGTGTCACCTTGTCGAACGTCCTTTGAAATTGGTATGTTAAGGGGCGATGGAAAAGGTGTACCGGTTTTGTAGCAGTCGGCCAATGTCCTCACGTAAGTTGGATCCACATTTTGGTGGAACTGCTGATAATATGGCATTCTGTCAAACGCTTTCTAATAGTCGACGAAGGTTGGGACGAGAGGTAGGCGGTCTCGGCAACCTCGATGGTCCTCGAAACTGTCTGGATGTGATCCACGCATCTGAATCCCTTCCAGCTGCTTCTACAGGTTGGGCTTCATCCAGCGTCCTTGACGAGCTAGAATAATCTTTATGAAGAGACTGTGAAGGACGCTCAGCATTCATATAGGACGGTAGTTCTGAAGATCCTCATTATAGCTTCCCTTAAGGAAGGATTGTTCGGGAAGTTATGGTGTTCGCTGGTTGAGGATCCTTTCCTTTTGAAGATAAGACGTTGGATGTTCCGCAAGTATCTCATGTAGACGATGTCCTTCAGCTCGTAAGAGGTCGGCCAAAATGTGTTCCAATCCCGGAACGTGGCTGCCTTCATGGTCTGGATTGCAGCGCATACTTTAGCAGGTAGAATCTGTGGTGGTATTTCTCCAGTGGGGAGAACGGAGTGTGACATGGGTGTTGATGAGCGGAAGAGATTGGTACTGATTCTTTTCGTGATCAATTTCCAATTTTTGTTGAGAAGATGTGCGAGTCCCGTCTTCGTTTATTATTATTGTCAGCGGGACACGGTAGACAAGGAGGTCCCTGCGGTACTTCTTTAAACTTCTCCTTCCTTGTACTGCTTCCAAAACTTTCGATTGCCTGTACTTCCGAAGGTCTTCTTGCAAATGTTCTGCAAGTGCTATTGCTACCGGTCGTTCGAGATGTGATACAGTCAGATCTAGCATCAGTGCTTTCCTCCTCTTTACCAGGTCCTTGGTGGCTTTTGAAATTCCTCTCAAGTTCCTTGTTCGAGGCATTGAGGCACTTTCAACACAGGCTCCCAGTCCTCTAATAAGCAGGTTGTAGTCTTTTGTGGGGTCCTCCTCGATGGGCCAGTCACAAGTGGTCGGGAGCTCCTCCTATCTGACGCCGTCATACTCGACTTCTCTCGTTGCTCTAACGCGATGACAGATCTTCTTTTACCATGAGCCGTACCGTTGGGTGACTCTTGTCCACCGCTGATATTCTTTCTTCATGAAGATAGAGTTGCTATGAAAAAGTCGTGTGGCGGATAAGTGCCCAAGACGTCCCTATCCAAATCTCCCTACCCTATGCTCCTCTTCTTCTGACATCCCAATTTTCGCATTAAATTCACCCACGACAATGTAAAGGGACTTCTCTTTGCAGACGACTTTTTCCAAATCCTCATAAAAAAGCATTATGTTCCGAGTCATCAATTGCTGATATCGGAGAAGAGCAGTTAATGATAGTGACGCTTTTCTGATGCGAAGGACGGAGTCGAAGGATAGTTAGGAGAGGTGATAGGATCTCATGCGAATCGACAAGATGGACAACAGATTGGTGTACGACAAATCAACCGCCTCCAACGTTCCGCGTTGGAACGTTCTCATCTTTTCACCACGAATGATGAGTGTGCCATCCCTCAGCTGCCTCACATCCATCTTCTTTGACTTTATTTCCTACAAGGCGATTATGTGGTAGTTGATGGGCCCTGCAGCTTCGAGAAGGGCGTAGAGATCGGCTTTGGTGGAGACTGTCCTAGCCTTGTAGGTGCAAAGCATGAGACAATCACTATGACGAATTGTTGGCGTGTCCTTTTGGTCCAAATTCCACGGCTGTGCCTGACGCTGGTTTTGATGACCGCGACGCCGCAAATTTGATACTGTGTGCAGGACTGCTTTTCCTATTACATGCTGTACAAACAGTAGAATAAACCACGAAACATAGCAGCCTTGTATGGCGTCTAGCTTTCACCACAGGCAATCGCTGACCTATGTGGATCAGAGAACCACCTAGCGACGTCAGCCAGACGGTGGGGTTCTGGCATGGTGTTTACTGAGCAGAGTTTAACGAAGGATCCCATTCCTATTGGAGCTGTTGATAATGACTAAATCTCCCGTGAAATGTTGCGTGCCACAGGTGACTTTATACTTCTAAAATGAGAAGATTACGGCTGCTGGCGATTCTTGATTTTTCGATACCCCATGATTCCTTCCCTTTATAATTTTGCGTTTGTCGGCTATCGGATTTTCCCTGCTTCAGCCGAGTTTTGTGATAAAACGATTTGCCGACTCCTATCGGCATCCCTATCGTGTTCTAGGTGCCTAGTTCAATTAAAGTTCATTCGCTGCTCTATATTTTGAATTCCAAGCCAGTTCCACCATTAGATCGTTTTTTTACAAATGCTTTTTGTCATTTGTTATTTGCCCATTTAGCAAACTTGCAAACTTTACTTGTTGGAAGAAGTTAGCAGGGAATTCGTAACAAACTTCAATTCAAAATATACTTATACTACCTGCAGATCGTATAAAATGCTAAGTAGTAGAGAAAAATGATAAAAAGGTGACTGGAGTGTCTGTTAGGGCCTGTATTCCTCAATAGGGGATGTGTCATTCTTTGAACATATTTTCATTAGATTCATTCATATTTTCATTCCTTTATATTTTAGAGCTTCTAATTTGTTAATTAGCTTATTGTGGAATTCCCCATTCAAATTACCGTTTCAATTCAAACTACTGCTCCAATTTATTAGAAGCTTCAATGCCTCTAATAAATTGGAGCAGTGGTTCTTGAGGACAAGCCTAGTTGGCGCTAAATAGTCCTTCACTGCACTGTATGAGCCTAAGCTAATGCCGATAGTTTTTTGAATGCAATAAATATTTGTTGTTAGTAGAGTGTTTTGTATGCGAAGTCAAACAAATTTAGACTTTTCAGGTTTATTTTTTTTGCGGAGTAAGGACATGCAAGGATGAGCTTGAAGGTAAGGGGCAAAGAAGAGATGTACGTCGTCTCTAATTTTCTGCGGCGCAGTGATTATGCTCATTTTCTTCGACCTGTGTACGGCAAGTGGTGCATAGGAGAAGTCCCGGGTAGTTATAGCTCCAAGCTAGATCGGTAGCATGAGCAATCCTGAGACCCAGTAATCTTTATTGCTGAAGGTCCACCGATTACAACCGACGTTGTAATAGAGAACCAATGTCAATTTATCGATAACAAGAAAGTAAGATAATTTTTATATGCGAAATCTCATCCCAACTCGCTGTTTCAGGAATTCCACAGGGAATTCTTAATCCTAAGAAATGAATTTCTGAAAAAATTCGTGTTTTAATGTTTCACCTCGTTGTCTTTGTTGTTTATTACTCTTTGATCATTGTTAATAGCTTGAAAACTTCTACAGCAACTCAGCACATTTCCCAAAATAATCTCATCTAACCAAAGTGTAGGAAGGAGATTAGAAGGATAGATAACAAATGTACTGGCTAATAAAAATTGTATTTGTACTTTTACCAGACTTCTCCTCTGCTCTTTCTAAATAAGAGATCAAATTTCGAAGTAAATATTCCGTGTTTCATAGGATTTGTAGGATTACAAGGTGGTGGATTACCAAAATACCTCTTCCGCAAAAAATGTGCGTTTGGGGCCGTCGCGAGAGATCGATGCGGTAAGCTTTCTTAGCTGAAAAATCGGCCAAAGTACGGTGATTACACATCGTCCAGACCCAGGCCTTTTCGAGTACTTAGTTAAATTCTGCATAAGAGGAACAATAATCAAACTATGTTTTGATATAGGCCTACTCGGACTTTTTGCAATGACAAATCTGTTTGACTTTTCCGTGGATTGGCTGCACCTTAACAATGTGCAATGACCTCAAAGATGATTCTCTTTGAGAGTTTGAAAAAAGAGACTTTCTTCCGGCATTGCACTTGTCTCAAAACGAAATTAATAGAAGACTCAAAATATACTGGGTTTCAAAGAAATGAAGGTAGATTCTTTTATTCTTGTATGACTAAAGGCAAACTATAGGGAAAAATGAAATTGCTGCTTGTGTTCTTCGTCAACCTCTCACAGGGTCCGGATACTAGACGAACGCATAGGTTTTGATCAAAACTGTTCTCCTACCATATCTCAACTGTTGTGGGTGTCGATTCAAGCACATTCTCTGAGAAATTCGTCATTTTTTTTGGAAATTAGAGTACATGATGGTTTACTGGCAAGACAGGCAATCGATTTAATGGAGACTGTAGGAGAGAATTGGCGCAAGCAAAGATCCTTTTCGCCTAAAAAATACATTTAAGATGGAATTTTAAACTGGTTAGACAAATGCTGACGTCATTGATCCGTGAAAAATTTGAGTTTAAAAATTTGAAAATGACGACGAGCGCCATGTCATGCTATAAAAATCGCCAATCGCGCATCTCTGCAAGTTTTGGAGTTTTTTGTATCTGTGCAAGAAGGTTCAATGTTTTAGTTTTTAAAATACAACTGGATATCAAAACACATATAGCTACCGAAGTTGTAAATCTGTTTGGCAATTTATGATAAAGTGGGAGGGTTCGGATCTCTCGCTCTAGAAAAATCCGAAGCATTCATATTGTCGATACAACAGCATCAAGTGATAAGTAGTTAAGGCTTTTTTAGGCTTGAAGGGTTTTAGAGCTTATGGAAGTGCCTTTTTTCGTTCTACAGCGTGCAAAAATGGTAACAGCAGTGATAAAATCGTGCCTTTTGCTTGTGTTTCCGTGCATGGATATTCAGCTGATTTGGAGGTGAACGGTGGATATTATCTACTCATACTGCACGTAGAGTCGCTAATGTGAAAAAAAGCCCAATAATGCAACTTAGCATCAAGCATCACGTCAAGTCATATAAAACCTATGATACATGACATATCAAATCTTCTCATAGCAGGGAATAGGAGGAGCGATTGAATCAAAAACTGCAAAAAAATAAAGTTTCTTTTTAGATGCATGTCATAGACATTTCTCTTTCGCTTTTATGGGTTCTACAGGTTCTAGGCGAAGGTATCTATAGTGCTAAATATCTGTGGAAGTTGCAGAGTGTTATTAATGGTCAAGGAAGAACAAGGAAGCAAGATCAGGGTAGAATACAGGTTTCATAATTTTTGTTGCAAGTGAATATCTAGAGTGAAAAAGGCAGAAACTTAGCAAAATTCTTCTGCAAATTTCTTAAACAACGAATTGTTGAGAATTTGCATATAGGTATATACTAATACGTGTTATATAAATTGTCACATTGTTATACTTATAATG